AGATTACATTGAATCCGTAGTTTGCTTTGGGTAGTGTGGACATTTTCACAGTATCAGTTCTTCCAATCCAAGAACAGGGCTATTTTTCCACTTATTTATGTCTTCAGTCTTTTTCATCAATGTCTTATAGTCTTTGTTGTACAGATCTCCCACCTCCATGGTTAAATTTATTTCTAAGTATTTTATTGATTTTGATGCTAGTGTAAATGGGATCACTTTCTTAGTTTCTCATTCAGACAGTTCATTGTTAGTGTATAGAAATGCAACTGATTTCTGTATATTGATTTCTTTTTATCCTGCAACTTTACTGAATTAAATTATTAGTTATATTGGTTTTTCTTTTTTTTTTTTAGTGGAGTCTTTAGAGTTTTCTATATATAAAATCATGTCAGCTGCAGATAGGTAATTTTAATTTTGCCTTGCTGGTGTGGATGCCTTTTAGTTCTTTTTTTTTTTTTTTTTTTTTTTGCCTAATTGGTCTGGGAAGGATTTCCAGTACTACACTGAATAGAAATAGCACAAGTGGGGTTATTTGTCTTATTCCTGATCTTGGAGGAAAGGATTTTAACTTTTCACCACTGAGTATGCTGTTAGCTGTGGGTTTGTTGTATATGACCTTTATTATGACAAGGAACATTCCTTCTATACTCAACTTACTAAGTGTTTTTATCATGAAAGGATGTTCTGTTTTGCCAAATGCTCTTTCTGTGTCTATTGAGATGATTATATAGTTTTTGTATTTCATTCTATTAATGTGGTATATCACATTTATTGGTTTCTGTACATTGAACTACGCTTGCCACCGTGAGATAAATCCCACTTGACCATGAAGAATGATTCTTGTAATGTGCTGTTGAATTCAGTTTACTAATATTTTGTTGAAAATTAGGTAACTTGCTATTTACAAAGAAAAAAAATGAATTTTTGCAGTGGAGACATATGCCTGTGATTCACTTAACCTATAGTGATCAAACTCAGTGGGACAGTAGGTATTAAGTGCATCCTGATTCAGTGAAATAAGAAGTACACAGCATCACCTCTGACATTTTTGCAAAAAAAAATTAGCTGAATCTATTAATGAAGCATCAATCAGACAGATGAATTGTATGAGATATTCTATTGGGCCACTGGCCTGGCCTCTGGCCAAAAACTCAGTGCCGTAAGAATAAGTGAGGGGACAGTTCTATATTAAAAGAGACTAAAGGAAACAACCAGATGCATTTCCTGAATCTTGTTTAGATCCTGGGTCAGAAAAAAAACCCCTAAACTTTTAAAATGTTTTTAGGAATTGGTGAAATTTAAAGATAGTGTCTCTCTTCTTCCTCTCCTTCTCCTTGCTCTCCTCCCCCTCCGCCTTCTTTGTCTCCTCCTCTCCTTCTCCTTCTTTTTTTCTAAAGATGTGTGAGTCGTGCTGTGGTTGTGTAGAAGAATGTCTTTAACTTCAATCTTAGGAGAAGGTGCTGAATTATTTAGGGGTGAAGAGGTGAAATCTGCAATTCACTTACAAATAGATCAGGAAAATGGAAAGAACATCACAGGTGAGCCTATGAGAGTGGGAATATCTTGCCAGTAATGCTAAAAGCCGGTGAATCTAGATGAAGGGCATGTGGGTGTTCATGTGCTATTCTTCCAACTGCTCACTAACTTGGAACTGTGTGCAATAAAAAGTTGGGGGAAACCTTCTTATGGACTCAAACATACAGAGAAATCTAAATGTGAGAAAAAACTGATTTCAGTAATATTTTTGAAATAATTTGAATTGTATTAAATATAAAATCAACAGTCAGATCATTTTATGTGGATGACACATTCTTCGAGCCTATAGGCATTGCTTTCTAACATGTAGATTCACAGATCTCTGGAAATAACTGTAAACCTACTCAGGCTCAACTCTTGTAGATATCTGTTTCCTTGGGAGGAAGTCTTTTATCTGTAGAGGTGAGCTTCCTTGCAATCAAAGCTAATCTGATGAATCTCCGTGCTGAGTGTAAAGTGATCTACATTTTACAAATAAAAACCACACCCTGTGCAACTGCTTTAGAAGATAGTGTTCATTCTTGGGCTGATTGTGGGATATTGTTAATTCCTGGATGATTGTATGTCTATTGCTGGAATGGCTCTGTCTGACCTCTGTCCTATGAATATTTTCAGTTCGGTGGAGAAAAACACCACAAACTCTTAAGTTCTGTATAAAAATCAAAATTGGTTTGATACGTTTATCTTCCCATGGATGTCCTGTTTGCTCTCAGACTTCTGGATCTCTTATTCTAATGGGGGTACATTTTACTTTGCTTTGTTAACCATATCCTGAGTCTCTCCCTGCTCTATGCACTGATCTGTCCTGAGCATAGGTACAACTGTAAATATAGTTTTCCAAAAACTGGTAACTCTAGAAAGGGGAATTCCTATTTTAAAAGCATGCTCTTTAATTCAGATTAATAAACAAAAGACAGGCTTGAAGTATAAAGTATTTAAAACATTTTAAAATTTAGATAATCTATTGTAAAATAAAACAAAGAATTGCATAAAACACATGTATAACAACGAATCAAGTCAAACACCTTTGTAAGTTACCCATGTGAGGAAAGAACTTTATTAGGTACATTAGAGGCTTCCCTCATGTTTATGTTTGCAATTCCTCATTACATTTATAGCCTCTTCTGTTTCTTCTGAAAGTAACCACTATCCTGACTTTTAACGTAATCACTTTTTTTGCTTTTCTTTATTGTTTTACCACCAAAGTGTGTAACCTTGAACTCCCTCCCATCCTCCCTTCCTCTCTTCTTTCTTTTATGTACAATGCCCATGGAGTATAGTATAATACAGTGTAGTACAGTATAATATAATCCCTTTATGATCTCTTTAATGTACAGGTTTTCCTTCCATCCCTGCCCCCGACTTTCTCTTGCAGTATGTTGAAGAAGCTCAGATCTTTGAGCTGTAGCGTTTCTCTCACTCTGAGCTATGCTAATTGCATCCCAAACATGTGGCTTAGCATATTCCTCTGTGCTTTTTGTTTCCTGTGTATTGACATCTGGATATAGATATCAGATAGGAATTTTTTGGCAAGACTATTTCATGGTGGTGTGTGATTTTTACTGCTGATGTTAGCAGCCATTGCTGCACACTGCTTAGATCCAGTCATTCATTAAAATTGCAAAGTGATGCTATCGTCTGTCATTCTTTCTTCATCTGTTGAAACCTTCCATAAGAAGAAACCTACCCTCATCCACTATTTGATTATTCTTAGGTGTAGCTAGACTTGGAAAGACAGAATGAATGTACGTTTTGCCCAGTAGTTAACCAGTTTTCAAGGTAGTGAGTTGGTTTACTATCATCTTAAAAGACTGACCAATTAAGATACCCTGTTTACCAAATATCATTGTGAACTTACAGGTTTAAATGCATTTGTGTTTCAATCCATTGTAGTCATAATCCTTATTAGATCTCAAATTGCCCCTCTTTGGCTGTGGAGGCCTCCTTGGGTTGGCTCCCAAGTCCTTTGCATATGCCCCAGTGGTCTTCAATAACCACTTTGCTCTCTGATGGGATGTGTTCTGGCTCATCTTGTACATTTCCCGTTCCAAACCTGTAACGAGCCATTCCCCAAGGGTCTCTGGTATCTTTTAGTGGGAAATGGTTTTTCAAGACCATAACCTTGGTGTGAGTGGTGCTGGTCGTAGTATATAGGCCTTTTCAGTGGACAGTGGAAAAAAGATGCCTCAATAGAAACACATACAAATATTTTATGCTGAGAGTTGCTACTTCGAAGTCAAAGTTGTGACTACAGGGTTTCTATTTAATAGCTTCTATCTTAGATCTGAGTCTTCTTTCTTCCAAGAATTCTGATTCTCAAGAATGTGGGATGATGGAATTACACTATCATATAGTTGCTTATTTACTTTATTTCACATTACTTACACAACAGGCTCAGAGGTACACCTGATATTACCGTCACCAAAATAAAGCCAGTTAACATCACTTTATGTATGTATTCTCCTTATTCTTCCCCATTAAAAATAGTTGCATGATATTTTTGTTAGAACATAGCTATAAAATACTGTATTATCATTCTTCTAATCATCACCAAGCCCTAGTTCTGCAGATAAGTGTATGTTTAATGATCCTCACTCATCTAAATGATGGTGCTTCTGTAGTTAATTTGGTTATCTGGAACTTCTCTAGTAGATTTCTCAGAAGAATCATGGGAAAAATACTATTAGTTTGTTGTAGTCATTATGTTTGCAAGTTAGACTGGATATAAAATCTTTGACCTGCTTTTGCTTTCCGTGATATCTTGAGTGTTACCGCATTTTCCTTTGGCATAAAGCATTGCTGTTGAAGAGATAAAAAATCTGCTTTCTTCCCTTTATCGACAGTCTTTTTTGCTTGGATATAGGTGTTTTTTTTTTCTTCTCAAATTCCATTAATTTACTAGAATTTTTCTTGATGTTGGTAATTTCTATTTTCTCACATACATCTTTTGTTCCAATATGTAGTTTTAATGTTTTTAATTAAAGTTTTATTAAGTCATATATTTTATGTATTCTGTTCCCTCAATTTGATTTTCCTTTTTGAGCACTCGTATTTATGTATGTTGGGTCTGCTCTGCTTACTTGCAGTACTTGTCACTTTCTCTCAAATCCTTTTCATCTATTTCTTCATACCTCTTTTTAATAGACTTTTTTTTTAAAGAATAATTTTAGATTCCCAGCAAAACTGAGCAGAAAGGACAGAGTTCCATATAGACCCTTCCACACACAGCCTCCCATCATCAACATTCCCCACCAGAGTGATACATTTGTTACAATCACTAAACTTACGTTGACACATCATTATTGCCCACAGTTCATGGTTTACATTAGGGTTCACTCCACTGTTGTACATGCTATAGGTTTTGACAAATGTATAATGACATATATCCACTGTTGTAGTATTATACAGATTACATGTTTAGGCAGTAGATACTTCCCTAAAAAATCCTCCATGCTCTGTTTATCCCTCCCTTCCCCTTAACCCCTGGGGACCACTGATCTTTCTATTGTCTCCATGGTTTTGCCTTTTCCAGAATGTTATAGTTGGAATCATACAGTATGTACCTTTTCACATTGGCTTATTGCACTTAGTAATATGCAAATAAGATTATTCCATGTCTTTTCATGGCCTGATAGCTCACTTTAAAACTTTTTAGTGATGGATAATACTCCATTGCCTAGGTATATCACAGCTTATGTATCCACTTGCCTACTGACATCTAGGTTGCTCTAACGTTTTGGCAATTATGAATAAAGCTGCTGTAAACATCTACATTCGGGTTTTTGTTTGGACTTAGGTTTGTAACTCACTTGAGTAAATATTAAAGGGTGCAACTGCTGGATCATATAGTAAGAGTATGTTTAGTTTTGTAAGAACCTCTTCTATAGTGGTTGTACCATTGTGTCCAGCAAGGAATGAGAGTTCCTGCTGCTCCACTTCATTGCCAGTCTTTCGTGTTGTGTTTGGCATTTTCGTTATTCTAATAGGTGTGTAGTGGTATCTCATTGTTACTTCGATTTCTTTTTGATTTTTAAATGTCTCTCCCTTTTACCTTCTGTGTCTTTAAGTGCCACTTCTTTATATTCTTCTATTTCTTCCAGTTTAGTGTTCTTTTCTAAATTTATTCTAATTCTCTCCTATCACCTCATTTGAGTTTCTCTTTATGTTGATCTTTCATTTCTTACCATTTTAAAATGTATTTGGCTCATCTTGTAAAACTATAATTCTCAGATATTTTTTGAGGATGTCTATATGCCATGCTTTTGTTTTGGTAGTTCAGCAATGTGATCCTGAAAAAGTCTCATTCTCTGTGAGCTTCAGTTTACCCAGTTATAAAATGAGGATAATTTTCTTTTATTCTGAGTAACACCAAATCCTGGACAGAACTTTAAAATTGTGTGGAAGTACAAATCCCACCATTTTATTATATCTAAATATAAAGTTTTAAGAGTCAACCAACTCATTGTCTTCCAAATAATCAACATACCCTCCAGGTCACTTGGCAATTCCTCAGAAGCTGCTTCCTGGTGTATGATCATGTGGACCTCAGTTCTGCAGATTATTTTGTTTGTTTTTTCCTTTTTCTTACATTAATGTATTTACTAACTTGTTATGAGATTGACCTCATTCCTTTCCTGTTGCTTATTTTTTTTTATGAAATTAGTTTTGTTACACTTTTAAAAGGGGTTGTTCAAGCTTAATTTCCTAACTCTATACTCTAAAGCTAACTCTTCTATTTTGTGTAGTATTAAAAATATGTGGTGGTTTACTTTCTGAGATCTCTTGGCTCTGTTCTCATGTCCAACTTTTATGTGAGCCTCCTCTTTCTTTTTTCTCCATTGTCCCTGTGTTTCTCCATTAGATTTTATTCCCAGCACTTTATGATCAGTGTTGGGAGCATTGGCAGTTGGCTTTGAGAGTCCATGGGGCACAGACTGCTCCAGTCTCTTTGGAACTGACTGCAGTGGCCCTCACACTCACCCACTACTTGATTATGCAGAATTCATCCGGTTCTAGCTACTGTTCTCGAATTGGCCCTCTGAAATTTCCAGTGAGTTCCTGTTGGCTATTTTGGGAATCTTAGGAATGCAGAGGATACCTAATTCTTTCTCATACTTCCTCTGATGCAGGTGCTGCGCATATCTTATAGTAAAATTTGTTCACATCTGTGCATATTATGAGGTGTATGAAGATACTCTGTCACCTAAGTTTGTTGGAGATGTTGATCATCTGTTTGCTTTTCTAGCTGCTTGTCTGCTTTGTATGGTAGAATTTAAGAGGACTGAGAAACTAAGCCACCACGGCCACCATCTTCCCTAAATCAGATTTTATTATGTTCAAAAATAGAAAATGGAGTAGTACATAGTTGAGTCATTCATGGAATTACTTTCAAGCAACAGATCATTTTGGAATAAATATTTTTGTGATACAAGAACATTATCCATAAACTGTTATGAGTTGTCTTGTGAACATGTTTTCCTCTTCAGTTTGTCCTCCAGCCTCTGCTGCCCTATGTTTTTTCAAAGAAGGAAGAATAAGAGTGGCATTTATCTATCTAGGGCCACAGATATGGATTTCCCACTATTATAATAATCCTCCTCCCCCAAATCATGAGCTATACTCTATTTCCTACTTCTCTTCACTTATGGGTTATATTTTGCTTAAAAAAAGCCTTTAAACTCTAGTTTCAGTTTGTTATATGTAAGTATGCTTTGGATGTATCAATGCAGAATCCTACATTTTTTTGAAGGCTTTTCGGTTGAACTATTGAGATCTTAGGTAAGTGTAGAAGAAAATCCTAGTGGCTGGTGAAATAACAGAGTATAAGGAAAGAAGGGAACAAAAACATAGCATAGTAAATTGGAAAAATTAGCTGGAAGTCATTCTTTTAGCTCAGATTTTCTAGCTCAGATGCTTCAAAAAAAGTCCAAAATAGCATTTTATGTTTTTTGCCCATCATCATTTCTGTAGTGTACCATTAGTGTCCAGATTTTGTTTGAGCTCCACTTTTGTTCTCTACATAAAAGGGGCCAGGTCTCATTGGAGGTATTTGATTTCCTGCTTTAAGGCAGGAGAAAAATCAGGGTATGTGTGGAATATCCTGTTGTCGGAAAGCAAGAATGCTTTCAGAAATGGAAGGGACAGTAAAAGAGTGAATAGAACTGTTTAAGAGGACTCAAATAATGATAAAAACAGGATAACAAAAGACCTAGAATAGTCCATAAACATAGTTGAGAAAGCAGCAGCAGAGTTCAAGAGGATTGGCTCCAGTTTTGGAGGAAGTTCTACTGTGGGTAAAATGCTATCAAGCAGCATTGAGAAATTGTTCATGAAAGAGTTAACTGATGCAGCAAACCTCATTGTTTTCTTATTTATAAAAATTACCACAGCCGCCCCAAACTTCAGCATCCACCATGCTGATCACTCAGCAGCCATCAGCATTGAGACAAGAACCCTCAAAAAGAGACTGAACAAAAAGATTGTGATTTGCTGAAGGCTCAGATGCTGTCTAGCATTTTTTAACTATGAAGTATTTTTAGTTAAGGTAAAAAAAAAGAGGACTCAAATAATGATAACAACAACAATAATAATACTTAGAAATGTGCATCAGATAATAAAAACAATAATATTAGAAACTTGCAATTGTAGAAAGCCATGGATTTACAGTAACACCCCAAGTAATAGTAATTGTGCAAAGAATGGCTATATCCTGTAAAAGGAACTTATGTGTAGTTGGAATTTTTTTTTAATTTTATTGATTTTTTTTTTTTACATTAGGGAGTGTTACTACATGTTTATATTTTGCTTCTTTTACTAAATACCACACACACACACACACACTGACGCACTCCTGTTTCTGTGAAAGCAGGAAAGAAACCTTGTGTAAAGTAGAAGTTTTGCTAAGAACAGGAAGTAGTGATCAGCATTTGTGGTCATATGAAATAATTTAGCAAATGAGGTGTAAAAATTAATGAGAACTGTTGGTCAAGAAGATGGAGATTTCTAAAACCTGTTTCTAGTGAAACAGCCTAACCTCTAATGTCTGAGCCTAATAGCTCAAGAAGTGAGTTATTCATAAAGATTAAACCCTAGATGGCTCTCCTAATTAAAATTTAAAAAATCTAGTAAAAATGTATACTTTTAATAATATCAGTAGACTGGTTTCACATATCATAGTGACAGGCCAATAGATGAGGGACCAGGACAACCAAAAGTTTAAGAATACATCACTTTCAGAAAAGGCACCAACTTTAAACAAAAATTGAAACTGTAAACATTTAATATATCAAAGGGCTCAGCTTATGATGCTCACTGTCACTTGTTTGAATCACTGTGGCCATTACAGTCACACTCAAGGTCCCAAGCCAGAGTCTCTTTGTCAACAACTAGAATCTGCAACCTTGATTTGTGTGATTGTGATCATTTTCCTGATGTCTGATGAGATTAACAAAATCCTTAAGAGTGTCTAAAAATAACACTAGCAACATATCAAAGTAAGGGTAAGAATAAGAAGCAAAGTTAAATTTTTTTAGCATGTTGATATCTAGCTTTAACATAAAAGTATTACAAATTGTGTAATCATTGCACTTTGTATATGATTTGTCTGCTGTTTTTGATGCTTAAAATATTCAAAGGAATCAACCATACTAAATCTATAATTACAGTTTTTAAGGGAATTTAACTAATCAAATATCTAATTGACATCTAGATGCTCAATTTTAAAAGTTTTCATCAGAGTTTAATTTATTAAACTCACTAAATGAAGAACCACATCAGGTGTATATTCTTCTCCTTGAATAAAAAACCTTGGGCATAATCATTATTGGTTCTCCATACAGGAGGTTTTTAATTTAACACCAGTCTTCTCTCATATATAAAACTTTAACTAGCCTTTCAAATTATTTTCCCCCTGCATTAAGAAGCTGCAGCAGTGAAACTAAACCAGGTTATGACTCACCACGTTGTGATCCATCATTGTGTCCACCACCATCCTTTGCTCATCTATTTCAGTCATTGCTGAAATGGAAGCAGAGATCAAGCACAGTGAACACACTGGCTGTGTAGAAGCAGAATTATCTTACTGAGTAGTAGATTTGCAGACTTTCACCTCCCAGCTTGGTAACAGGGTCTTAGATAATGATCTGAAGGAAAGAAAAATAGGCATAGCATGATACTGTTGTTATATTTGTAGTGGATATTTATTTTGTCTTCTGCCCCTTCTTTTGGGGAAGCTTGTCTTTCTTCTCCATCCCACCCATGTGTTTCTGGTGGTGGCTACAGTTATAGTCCCTTATTTCCCCCCTACAGGAATAAGCATATGTCCCATGGGCACCAGAGTTGTAAACCCTCTTGGTTACAGAGACTCATTAAAGAAGGCAGTGAAGGTGGGGACCATGACTCCTTCAGAGTTGATTTATAATGGAGCTGAAGAGAAGGCTTCCTCAACCTCCACTTTGGTCTTGGTTTGAAAATTGTGGTCCTGGATAGTGACAGTTCCATGATCTTCTGACTCATGAAAGAGCCCATCCATGGTGGAGAGGTGGAATGGGGGTAATGCTTAAAGAAGAGCAAGGTGGAACCTGGGAAGACAAGATGCTGACCGTGTTGGGTCTCTGCTCCAGGCATCTGGGGTCTGAGGAGCTGTGCTCGTTTTTATAGCACGTATTCCAGTTGGGGGAGTGTGCAGGCTATTGAGTACTTCTCACTCTAAACCTGCCCTTTTTTGTCCTATGGTGTGGTAATGGACCTGGACTTTGCAGACTGCATTTGTCCTTCACCGGCTGGCTTGATGTGAAGCTCTGGCAATAGGAGGTGCTGTGGAAGAGACTGCAAGATGACAGAAAAAGGAGCCTCTTTTCTTTGTTTTCCTCTCTTTCTTGCTTCTGGGGTGGATTGATTGCACACCAGGGTCAGCCTGCTCCCATGGTTTTGGCAAGTAGCTTGGAGCCTTCTTTCTTCTCTTCACCTTGATTAGTGGCTATGTGTTTCTGCAGCAACCAGTTTCCCTTCACATGTCAGAATCTCCCTCTTGCGGAGAGAAGACCTCTTTTTTAAGTTTCCAGGTCTTTTATTCACTTCTTTGAGCCTAACAGTGGCAACAGCTTTTTGAAATTGTTACCCCATTCTGCCTTAAAGTTTTCCTTTACCTCCTTCAGTAATTGACTACCTTTTATCCAGTTAACAATTTTTTTTGTATTGCTATTGGCCTTGTTCAAATTACTGGTACGATTTTTGTCTTCTAATGATACCCTAGTGGCTACAGAGAGTGTCTGAATTTAGTACTCTCTAATAAATATTATTTTTGCTAAAGAAAACTCAGTTTGGGCTTCTTCCCTTATTCCAGCCTTTGCAGTTACTGTTTGGGCTCATTCATTAAATCATCAAAAATGTGTGAGGCTCTGGGCCAAGTGTTATATTAGGGACTTGAGATATAAAAGATGAGTGGGCCAGTCTACTCAAGGTAGTCAATAATCATGATGCACTAGGTGTTGTTGGATTGACAGATATGTAAACAAACGATTAAGGTACAATGTGAGAAGAGTTATAATAAAGGTATGAACACAGGGAGGGGGAAACATAGAGAAAGGAGTGATTAATTTTGCTGCAGGGATGGTTGAGGAACTGGTCAAGGAAAGCTTCACAGAGGAGTCAAAGATTTTAGCAGGAACATAAAGGACGAGTAGATATTTACTAGGGAGGAAAGTGGCAGAGGAAATCACACAAACCAAGGTAAAGAAGTCTGGACTGACTTAGCCTGTTCAGGGCACCGTGGTTTGTCGCTGGATATAAGGGGACATAAGGGGAAGAAAGCTGGGGGTCGTGGTTTCCCAGTTAGATTGCAAAGGACCATGAGGATTATATTAAGGAGTTCCAACATATTCTGTACCTAGCTGAGCATGAGAAGTTTTTTCTTCATACTGTGTGCTAGGCACTATGCCAGGTGATTACATGCATTATTAATTTTTATGTAATAATATACAGTGGATATTCTTATCCCCATTGTGTGTATAGAAAAGTAAATCTAAGTACACTGAAATACAGTAGTCCCCCTTTACCCACAGGGGATATGTTTCAAGACCCACCAGTGGATGCCTGAAACTATGGACAGTACCAAACCCTACATATACTATTTTTCTTCCTATGTGTACATACCTGTGATAGTTTAATTTCTAAATTAGGCAAAGTAGGAGATTAACAACAATAGCTAATTATAAAATAGAACAAATGTAACAATATAGTGTTAACAGAAGTTATGTGAATATGGTATTTCTCTCTCTCTCTCAAAATATCTTACTGTACAAATTTAATGCATGTTCCATGTTAACTAAGCACTTGTCACACACTGGAGGCGTACCTTCTGCAGTTTGAGATGTGTCAGCAAAACCAGCTTGAATTTCTTTCTCCTTCTTCACAATTTCACAGTTAGAAGATTTTTTCTTACCATAGATTTTAGCAACCTCAGCATAGGATTTTTTTCTTTCCTTATTGGGTCGAAATCTTTCACCTTTTCACTTAAAGGGAGCACTTTATGGCTTCTCTTTGGCATATTTGAATTGCCAGCATCTCTAGTCTTGGGCTTTGGGGTCATTATTAAGTAAAATCATTGTTACTTGAACACAAGTACTGTGATGCCCAGACAGTCAATCTGATAACCAGATGGCTACTAAGTGATTAATGGGTGGGATGCACAGGACAAATGGATGATTCACATCCCCAGCGAGACAGAGCAGGACAGTACAAGATCTCATCACGCTACTCAGAGCAGTGCACAATTCAAATCTTATGAATTATTGATTTATGAAATTTTCCATGTAATATTTTCCCACTGCAGTTGACCATGAGTAACTGAAACCATAAGAAGTAAGCCTGTGGATCAGAGGGACTGCTGTAACTTGCATTGTGTGCTCATGACTACACGATAGTAAACGGTGAGGGTTCTATAACACAGGTATACCTAACACCGAAGTCTAGCTTTTTGCCACTAAGCTGTACTGTTGCCACAGACAATAACTGCTGAGTGGGGCTGTTTTTATGATGGAAACTCATATGGGATCTTGTCCATTGCCCCCTGATTCAGTGGTGTGTCAGAGCTGGCTTGTACCAGTTCATAGGAGCCAAGCGTGCCCTTCTTTTACCAAGTCTGATCAGTGATGTGTGTCAGTAGCTTGAAATCCGCTGTAGCAGTGGTATTTATACTATGGAAATAGGCAAACACTACAGATCAGTTTTCTTTTCTGTAAAACTGGTTGTTAAATATATACTAACACACCGCTGCTCCAAACTCTTGGACTTTTTAAATGTGCAGAATAGATGGAACTATTGTTTTCCCGCACATTTTACTTTCTTGTAAAATGAATAATTTTGATCCAAAACTTAAAAATCCCTCCAGAATACTTAAATTGCATTAACCCATATGGTATCTTCATATTTGAGCCGATATTTCATGAGTATGAAGTCGAAACACCCACTAAGAGCCCTGTTTTCTCTTTAACCACTAGTTTCATTACTGTTGTTTGCGCTGATTTATTTATAAACAAATTATTCTTAATTATGGATTTTTATCACTTTTTCTAAAATTCATTAGTGAACCTGGATTGCCATCGACACTCCTTTTTTGTGCTTCCAGTGTGTATGCGTGTGCCCTGACTTCTAGTGATTGGGGTTTACTGTCCCTCACTCGTCTTCTCTTTCCTTCAGACTTGTCAAGTATGCAGTTCCGATGCTCTTTAATTAGGCTCACGTTTTCTTTAGCATTCATTATTGGCTTATTAGAATTATTTTCCGTTCGGTAATTTATTTATTGTCAGGGAAGTGCCTCAGGCCCATGAGGAAAAGCAACCAAAACTTCAGTAACCTCGTACATACAAAAGTAGACAGTGATCTGAACGAGACCATTGTTTACTGTTGTTATTCACAGGACAGCAGACAGCAGGAATATCAACGTGGTAGCGCTGATTTCCTTGCCTGCAGGTTCTCAGGCGGCAATGCAGTGAACGCAGAGGGCAGTGGGTTGTACCGCAGGAGAGGAACACAGGGCCGGGGGGTGGGGGGTGCAGCAGCTTTTACAGCAAACAGAAAGCAAGCCAGCCAGTGGCAGTGCTGGTAACTACAGTGGGCAACAGATGTGCCAAATAACAACCTCCATCCAAATGGCAGGCATTCCATGGCCCAGCCTCCTTCACATATAAACATAACCCACTGGGCACAGGCTACTCCAGTCCACAATTTGGATTACCATTACATGGGTTTGGTTAAGCCATGCAGACAGTGTCCCCAAGCAGTCACAGACTTGATTGTCATACATGGCATAACCTGAGGTCGTTTGGACTGCAGAAGACACACATGCATTTGTATCAGTCACATTGAAACAGGTTGTGACAGTCCATGTGTGTGTTGTAAGTAGGGAAGGGGAGGCCCACCCTGGGAGCTGTTGACAAGTGTGTCACGCACAGGAAAATGATTCATGGATGGCCATGCCCATGTGAGTTTCCTGCTCCCATAGCATGTGGACAGGGACCATCACCCCTGCAGAGGACCAGATTGCCAGCTTAGGTGCTGCTTGACTCAGGCAGACCACAGGGTTGTTATGCCAAGTTGTGGTGCTAGATCTAGGGGATAAGGAAAGTATTAATCCTGTTTCTCTCCCCACATTTCTCAGGATCTAAGGTCTTCTCTCCTTAGGAGCCAGAGTTGTTTTTCTCCCTCCAGAGTTATGTAGTTTGTCCTACTCTAGAAGCCACTTCTTCCCTTTGCACAGCCCCTTGGGTCAGGCATCAGGGGCACATTGGTTGAACTTGTAATGACCCAAGATGCCCCCATCACTTTCCGAGTGGACTACCATAAAGATATTTTAGAATTTACTAATTCTACCAGCTACTCAATTTGCTTATGTTCTGTGATCTGTCATACTTAATAACTGAAACCAGGTGTCATTCAAGCAATAGGTTGGAGTCATCCAAACCCTGTTATCTGATTGCCATCCTAAGATGCAACTAGTTAGGTCTCCCAGATAGGGAGTCAGTGGAAAAAAAGAAAAGGAGTGGCTGGATGTTGTCACATTGTCGGGATCACACATGTGGAGATCAGGTCTCTCCAGACAACTCCCCACCTCCCCTCTGAGTTTCCGCACTCAGTTATTCCAAAGGGCATGTTCCCTTGTCGGGAACAGCTGTGTTTAATGCTCTTACTGTCTCTGCTGTTAATCCACAATGCTGACAATGTGTTCTGTCCAGAGATCTTTTTCAGTCAGGTATTTAAATGTCCATTCCACTGGGTGATTTTGCTAGTATCCTTAGAATAAGGGTGTGAAATGTCTACTAGATGCCATGTCCATTTGTCCACTGCTGAGTTCCTTTTGCCATGAGTAGGATGCCACTGTTATATGTTAGGATGGTCTGAATATACAGAAATGTGGTACATCTTAGTTTCCAATATTACTGTGGTGTGGCTTAGCTGGAGTAACTGTCAATAGCCTTAGACAGTAGTGGTAGCAATGAGATAGCAGCAGAGGATCAATGTTGTCTGTTAGCCAGAAATGAGCAGGAGCTTTGGGCTATGTGCCCTGCCCGGGGTGTAAGATTTATGGTCCCCTTGGGGACAGAGAGACCTTGGAAACACTCCTAGTCCACCTTCTCTTTAAAGGTTGTCAAATCAGTATACAACGGTGCCAGGTCCGGCAGTGGACGTACTCAAGGAGTAGTTTCTTCTAAGGATGCCTCCCAGATTCTTACACCCTCCAGTAGAGCAATATTGATCTCTATGGAAGAATCCGGTTCTACAGAGGCACTTTGAGCTTCACTGGTCTTGGAGAAGTCTCCCTGGGACGGCCATGACTTAGTCATTAAAATGGAAATCTGAAGTAGGAAGCCTTACTGTGGAGCAAGGTTCTGTCTCAACTAAGTTGGATGCAGAGCTGAAGGCATAGAGCTGAGTGTGAGCTGGCCTAGGTGCTGCCAGCATCTAAGAGCATCATCTCTCATCCCCTCATCACACACATGCACTAGCCAGGTCTCGAACAGATCCCCAGTCTGGTGACCACTGTGGTCCCAGAATCCCCTTCTCTCCCTCTAGCTGTGAGTCCACACCTTGGTACTCTCTACTGGGACCTGCTGGCCTATAGGGATGGTTCAAGTTGTGGATGTTGAAATAGGATGCAGTTGTGATTTCCTCCCTGACAGAGGCCCAGGGCGCTTTCTTAAGTTCACTGTTCCACAGAAGGGCAAGAACATCACGGCACTGGCTGGGAAGCTTGCTTTATCCTACCTCTCGTTACTCAGCCTCTGTTCCTTGACCTAGCTTCTTTTCATTAGCAAGTAGAGCAATGAGGAATCATTTATTCCCCACCCTCACCCACTGGCCCATCACCTGGATGGGAGCATTTGCTACTAGTCCCTGGGAGTTTTCTCATATCCCTGAATCTAGCCCACAAGGCTCTTGCCTTTTCTTTTCCAATGTCATTATCTTGGCACACACTGTACTGTTTGAGAAGAGCTCCAGCCTCATAGAGGATAGCAATGCCATAACTCCTTATGTGCAAAAATAGACAACACACAATGGATCAGAGCAAGACAGCTTGCTGCTCACAGTGCATCAAACAGCAGCCGTGCATCAATGGTAGCACTGATTTCCTGGTCCTTAAGTCCCACAGGGCATTGTGATGGGTGGGTCCAGACAAAGGCTGTGTATTCAGTCACTGTGACATGAGAGGAACACTGAGCCAAACTGAACTGAACACAGAGCCACTCAGCACCTTTTGTAGCGAGTAGCGAAAAGTCAGTCTCGCTCCTATGGGAAGCTAGAAGTCACACAGCAGTCACACTGTGGTTACTTTAACCTGCTCAATTGCCTGTGTGACCAGCTATAGACATTTCCCAGGGGACAGTCAGGCCTTACAGTGTAGCATACTTAGCAAGGATTTGCAGGGGATTACTCAGGGTCCAGGGCAGATTGCCTCTCTTAATATACGTCCAAGTTAAAAAGAAAAAAAACTTGGTAATTGTCTGTTTACAATTGACAAATATATGACTAAACTTTAGAGGTCTTTTATGATGAATAGAGAGGTAAATCTGTGTGTGATTGTCCCTAGATTCTCAGGTATCAAAAGCATCACCCCTATTAATAAGCAGGTAGGGCAG